CAAGAGAATGGGAAGTGGGGGAGGAGTACCTTTGTGCTTTTCTCATTGCCAGGAAATAAATTGCCAGCTCCATGAGACGTCATCCTAGCTTTCTTGTCACTGATTGCTGAGCTGCACTTCCAGACATGACTTGCTAGGTTCTAACTTCATTAGATTATTTCACTTCTAATTCAGGGTTTCCCTTTCGGCCTCAGTGCCTCTGCACAGCTCACAGTGGCCTTGAGCAAGGTCTAATGCCAATGCTAAGCTTGCTGAAACACATTCCTAGACTGTATTTCACCGGCTGGAATTCCCCTAGTCCCTCTCTGTCTCAGCCATGTGTACCACAGCTGCGGCACGTGTTCTTCTGCACACTTATCTTAGAACATCTATTCCCTGTCCTAGGGCTTGTGGTGAGAGAAGACACCACACATTACTCATCTTAGATGGGTTAGTCCCAGAACATCAGCTGTTGCGGTGGATTCAATGAACCTCAACCCCATAAATCTTGGGCATCTGGCATAAGAGTTGGTGAACCTTAGTGGAAGACTAAGAAGGTGGCCTTTTTGGAGGATTTCAAAAGATGCCATTTTGAGTTAGTGCAATCTGCCTCCTGCTTGTGGAGATGTGAACTCTCCGCTGCTGCTCCAAACACCCTTTATAATCACAAAGAAATTAAACTCTTTTCTAAGTTGAAAAAAAAAAAAGAAACTGAGTGAACCTTGGCTAATAAATTATAAAGCAAGAACTTTAAGAGATGAAAAGGTCTGTGTTGCTCTTAATAGAATGACTCTTGTTTACTTACTTTTTATGTATGTCCGTAATATTGCAATGCTTGTAATAAACCAAAATATCATCAGAAAAAATATCACCATTTCTAAATCCTTGATCCAGATTTGGTATAAGGAATATAGGGGATCTGAAATAGAAACTAAGAAATTCAAGAATTAGACAAATATAATGTTATGTACTATATAAAGAGAAGATAAATGATAATCACTTAATATCATTTCACCACATCTTAGGATTCCTCAGGTATGAATATGGTGATACATGCCTGTAATCATCATTCAGAAGGATGAGGAAAAGGGGATTGGGTCCATCCAGCCTCTGTTACATAAGAAATTCTGTATCAAAAAAGAAAGGACAGAAATAAAGAAGGAAAAACAAAGAAAAAGAAAGAAATTGCAAAATAAAACAATTTAATCTGCTACTTACAAAGGATTGATTCAACCAAGTCTTACAACTATATATAATATGTATTTTATATTCATTTGCTATTATTTGCATTTGCCAACTTTGATTTGATTCTGCAATAAGATAAAAATCTGGGGGAACCGTAGAATGAGTTGAACGGGATTTGTGTTTAAGAAAGATATAAGTATTTGAAGGCCATACTGTAATCAACAGAATTGACCTCCAAAATACCCAGACCTACTCCATGGAAATTTGTAATATGTTACATTTTATGGAGAATGAGTCTTCTGATGTCATTAAAGCTATAAACCCTAAAATAAGAAAACTATTTTGGTGGACACAATCTAATAATATAACCTCTTAAAAGCAGAGACTTTCACTAGCTGATCTGAGAATAAAGAAGACACAGAGTCGTGGAAGATGGAGACACCTGACCCGTTTTTGCCAAGTCTGGTGTGGTTGAGGTGCATTCCTTTAATTCTAGCTTTTTGCTGTCTTAGGTCTATCTCTGAGGTTAGCCTGTGCTGTAGAGCAAGTTTCAGGACAGACAGAAGGGCTACATAGAGAGGTCCTGTTTTGAAAATCACACAATAAATAATGATAATGATAATGATAATGATAATAATAATAATGTTAAGGCAGAGTCCAAGAAGACAGATGGATAAAACCAGTTTTTAGTACCTATAAAATTGGTGAATCCAAAGACAAACACATAGGCATCCTCAGGAATATTAACCTTCATCAGGCGATGAAAGGAGACAGAGACAGAGACCCACACGGGAGCACCGGACAGAAATCTCAAGGTCCAAATCAGGAGCAGAAGGAGACGGAGCACGAGCAAGGAACTCAGGACCACGAGGGGTGCACCCACACACTAAGACAATGGGGATGTTCTATTGGGATCTCACCAAGGCCAGCTGGCCTAGGTCTGAAAAAACATGGGATAAATCCGGACTAGCTGAACATAGCGGACAATGAGGAATACTGAGAATTCAAGAACAATTGCAGTGGGTTTTTGATCCTACTGCACGTACTGGCTTTGTGGGAGCCTAGGCAGTTTGGATGCTCACCTTACGAGACCTGGATAGAGGTGGGCAGTCCTTGGGCTTCCCACAGGTCAGGGAACCCTGATTGCTCTTCGAGCAGATGAGGGAGGGGGAATTGATCGGGGGAGGGGGAGGGAAATGGGAAGCGGTTGTGGGGACGAGGCAGAAATCCTTAATAAATAAATAAATTTAAAAAAAAAATAAAATAAAATTAAGAAATAAAACAAGAAATATATATATCTGTACTAGAGTAGCTAAAGAGAAAATGTGAACTAAGCAAGTGAAAGTCATAGACCCTTTAAGATAGCAACAAAGAGAGAGGTACAGAACACTCTGGCTCCCCAATAAAAGGTATTCCAGTCATAGTGGAAAGAGAAAACAGAAAACAAAGTCAGCCCAACACAAACACTATCAGTCTTCACAACAGAAGTGTTCTACATTCACTGTAGTCCTGGATTTCAATTATGCAGCAATCATAGTTGAAAGGATTCTGTTCAGAAACTTTGCTTCAAAGAAGAAATTCACATTAACTCTTTTACAACCCATAGAACCTGTATTTCTACACTATGGTGACTGTTTAGAATGAATAAACATTAAGAATTTGTATTTTGGTGGACAGAAGTCCTAGTGCATTCTCATGTCTGAAGTCAAGCAAACATGCAAATACATTTGTGTAACAGGATACAGTCTTGTGATCCCAATCTTACCCAGTAGTGAAACCCAGTCCCAAAATGAAAGGAAAACAATTCTAAAATTTCATCAGTCTATGAGTTCTTCCCACTAAAAAAGCCAAAGGAATTCTGTAAACAAATAGCTAGTTTAAAGGCATCACACTTCTTACTTGTCCAAATACAAAGTGACAGTAATAATGGAAATAGCATGGAACTGGCATTAGAACAGACCTAAGGAATAAAATATAGATAACTTAAATGAATGTAAGTGTGTATTTTCAACTGAGGTTGTCAAGACACCGAGAACACACAACGGAACAGGACAATCTCCTCAGTGAATAGAAGACTGGGTGTCCACACAGATGAAATTAATACCTTGTTTTGGAATCTATACAAAATCAACCCAGCAGATTAAATTGTAAAGCTAAGACCTGAGTTTATAAGATTTCTAAAAGAAAACCCAGGAGCAAAGGTTTCATAAATATGACCTCAAAGTCACAGTAGACAGCAGCATGATTATGTAGAATTGCAGGAAGCAGAAATGTTTGAGGACAGCAAAGAAAACGATCGATAACGTGAAATGGCATGACCACCTTCAGAATGCCAGAAAAACATTTTATAAGCCATAGACACGATAAAATGTAATAACATATACACACACATACATACATATGCACGCATGCACATCCTATATAAGTGAATAGCAAAGAATTTCTTATTCATTGTTAGTGATATGCAAAGTGATACCTTGATAAGTTGCTTATAAAGGTATCTATGTACCATCATGTGATCCAGCTCATTAATCCATCCATAATAGCTGATTACAGTAGCCATTAGGGTTGAAAGACAACTTATAATCAGGAGAAATTAAACTCTGATAGCTCATGAAATTCCTGAGGTGATCTATATAATGTCTCTGTTCTTCACACTTTCTCCTACAGAATCTTTTTTTTTATTTAACCTTTTATTTCTTAACAATATTCAACAAATGCCCAATGGTTTATTTTTCCATGGATTTTTTAAATTTATTTTTATTGAGAAAAAGGAAAAAAAAGTTTCCCCCTCCTCCCAGCCTCCCATTTCCCTCCCCCTCCTTCCACTCTTCTCCCCCTCCCCCCACTTCTCTCCCCCTCCCTCTCCAGTCCAAAGAGCAGTCAGGGTTCCCTGCCCTGTGGAAAGTCCAAGGTCCTCCCCCCTCCGTCCATGTCTAGGAAGGTGAACATCCAAACTGGCTAGGCTCCCACACAGCTAGAACATGAAGTAGGATCAAAACCCCTACAGAATCTTTACAGGTTATAATAAACAGTTACTTGAATGAAGGCGTTCAGAGTAGTTTGGTCTAGTTTCTTTATTTTCTGGGTACTTGATTGTGAATATAAATGCAGTTTGTTTGTCTTTAGTGATAAAATTGTAGGAAAATTAATTTTCTGCTTTTATTTCAGCCCTTGGGAGGCAGAAAAAGATGGATCTCAGTCACTTCAAGGTCAGCCTGGTCTACAGAGTGAGTTCCAGACAGATAGGACTGTTACACAGAGAAACCCTGTCTCGAGAAACAAAAGCAAAAATTAAAAAAAATTCTAAGGAAGAATTTTGCATGAGAATAGTAGAAGTACAGGCCTATGTATTCTATGATCCAAGGCCTATCTATCAAGAGGTCAGAAAACAAGAAAACAAAAAGAGAAAGAGCCCCAATGGGGACCATTTTGATTCTGAAGTTCTTTTTGTTTTGGAAGAAATGTGTATATTAAGACATAGTCTTGCTCTTCACTGATTACTGTTAAAAATTTTGTATACATATTTCCCCTATAAGCCATTAAAGAATAAAATATCATCAAAAGCATATTTTAGTGTTATTATATTCATCACAAATTCACTTCTACATAGTCACAATATTTCATATTTAATAAATTTACAGAAGCATTTTAAAGCACAAAAGCCTCATGCATATAAGGGAAATACTATTAAAATTAAATAAAAACTATTTATATTTCATTTATTTTCAGTATAGATCCTAAGATAAAAAGTGCTAAAGTTTTTAAACCTCTAATCATATGTGTATATTGACTATTAAATGATGAGAAAGTATTTAAAACAAATGAGAGTTGATTCAACAATATTTTCTGAAGCTGTTTTTCTTGTGGTAGGCACAGATGAATCTGTTTCCCAACACAGCTGAATGTGCTGGAAGCTTTAGTTGTTGCTTCCCCCAACACTCTGTGATAGTGTGATCCTTTGAGATTACAGCCAAACCACAGATCCTCCTAATAATGGTGAAAGTTTCACACGACAATCCCAAAGAGACATATATCCAGGAAAATAAGAGAACTAAAGATATACTATCACTATTAACAATATTTACCTTTGGTCGATCTTTGCCGAAGCACAGTAATGAATGTTGAAACGGGTACTACGGAATACATAAAATGTGTGAGTATTACAAATATGTTAAATATACAGGAACATGCTTTGCGTCCAGTTACATGTCCTAGAACAGAGAGAGTTAGAATCAACCAAAGGAGCTTAGCAGTGTGAGACAGTAAGTAGCCTAAGAACAACTACCTGAAAAGGTGGGCATCATTATCCCATTCCTATTCATCTCATAGGTAGAACTGAAGAATCAGGCTTGTTTTGTGACTAGGATATCTCAGTTGGAGTTGTAAGACTACCAGAGCTAACAACATAACCTAGCACAAAATAAGTTTCCATGGGAACTGGAGACAGCTTAGGTCATAGGAATCATCACCAGATTCAATCTTGGGCAAAGGTAGCTATGAGAATAGCATTAGCTGAAATAAGGGACTGAACTAGAGCCGCAGATTCTGAAATAAGAAGTAGTCAGCCCCTTCAGCGCCACAGAAAACACACTCTCATCTTTGAGCTGCTAAGACCCTGCTCAATACTCTATTCCTAAGCTGAACAGACAGTACATAAGTGTTTCCTCTATAAATTACTGAATATGTATCCATGGGATACTTAATCTTTATATTACCTTCCAGAAAAGGAGGTATAAGACTTTTGAAGTGACTAGAAATATACTTTAGAAAATATAACACAGTTTAGACTTTTAGTCTTTGGAAGAGAGAGAAACAGCTTACAACATATATTTTTTTCCAGAATCACTATTGGACATATCATAAAGAAATTGTCTGATATAAAAAGAGAATAAATTTCCCATAACCACCATGGAATAGACTATTTTAATGACTAAGTTGTTTCTACAGTCTGGTAAATGTAGAAGAAGAATCTTAAAACCAAGTACTAAAAATAATAGCATAATGATATGGCATGGAATTTATAGACAAATGTATCCTTAGGTCAATCTCCTGAGAGGGTCCAAATATACATTACTGTACTCCAGTTCACAAAATAATTGACAGAGTTTTTATCTCACCTTTCATGGGCTCAGTTCACATGAGCTCTCTTGAACTTCCAATTATCAAAATCTGTGGTTCCTTGTTCAGGTAAAGTATTGTACAAATATAATTACTTGTACAGAGTTACAGAACTGTTGTTCTGGTTATTTTGCTCCTCTGTATATTAACAAACATTTCAATGATTGTATCAAATGCTTTGTCTCAAAAGACTGATAAGAAATCATGTATATTTGTGGTTGCAACTCCTTGGTAAGAGAACACCTGTTTCTGTGTGAAGAATTTTTTTTTTTTTACTTTTTCTGAGTGCTCAGTCCCTCAACTTGGGTTTCAGTTGCTCGGGGATCTCTACTACTACCAAGTTCAGCAAAGTGTTGATTTCCATGTGAGAAATAGGCAGTTTGGTTCAACATGACTCAGTAGTCAGTGTTGGTCCAAACATCTGAAAGTTGCACTTGGGTAGTTCATTTTGGCATATTTAAGCACAGCTGAATTTGGAAAAGGTTTCCAGATGATAACTAGTTCAATTCCAGGTGCACAACAAAACATAAAACATGATTATATTAAAACTCTTGTAAACTACAAGTGACATCGGTAAAGATAGGTTCTATACATTAAGGAATCAGATTCATAATAACAAAAGTTCATGATAAGGGTTTTAGGGAGGATCACACTATAGACTGGCTATGATAAACAGGCTCAAGGAAAGAGTATGGGGATCTGTTTGGTGTGACTTGGTTTTTCAGATAGATAAGAGGTCAAAAGGTATTAATCACCTCAGCTCCCAAACACTCAAACAGAAATCAGGTAATACACATCCTTCTTTAAAGAGTAAACCATTTGTATTTAACATCCTTGGCTTCCCTCATTCTTGTCAGTAATCACAGGTACCTATGTTCCTTCTACAGGAAATGACATAAATATAGTACTCATATATGAAATTCTCAGAACAAATAATTTCAAAAAGAGCAGAAAGTGCTCGTGACTGTTGACTCATGTCACCTGTCCTATCTGTGTACATTTCTAATGGACTGTATATTATTGATAAATTACAAGAATTTATTATAGAAGTTTTTCTTCTTGGATAGAAGTTCTATACTCTCATCTATGTCCATATGTAAACTGTGCTTGTACAGTAAAGGCAGTACTTTTAGCTACAGACAAGAGTTAGCGAATGTTTTAAATGTGTAGCATTTGTGAACAAAAGTTTATAAATGTTGCTTGTCTGTTTCCTTAAGGGATTTTTCATGGTTTTAAAGGAGAAAACTATTAAAGATGAAATGTCTATTTGTACCCTTTAAAATTTTACTGTAAACTGTCAGAGATCAAATTAAAAAAAAATTACACAGTTCTTGCGAAAGCTCAGTATACAGAAGCTCTCTAGAATGTTTGATGAAACTACCTGGGAGAGTTTTTGTAATTGTGTGTTAAGAACTGGTACAGTGTGAGAGGTATCAACACTGTTACCAGTTAAAGCCCCAATATTTATAAAATGAAGGCTATAAACTATCAGCCATTATAAAACATGCAGTTCTTCATTTGATTTTTCTTATACTTACTAAGACAGAAGGACACCTTCTAGACATCTGAGCATCAGTCACATGAACTAAATCTTTTGAACAGTCACCATTCCCATCATATTTACCTTTCAATCTGAAGAAAATAAATGAAATGAGCTTGATCTTGAACACTATCAACACAAAGAAGATCACACTAATATCTTCTAACCAAAAAGTATCCAATTCAAAATATGAGTCTGAAACTAAGGCTGGAAAAGAAGGTAAGAATTAGGATAGTTGCAGTCGGCAAAGCAAGGCTAGATTAAACATTTAAGGTTGGTTTGTTTTTCAGGTTTCTCTTGCTATATGCTACCTACATGTACAAGAATAATACAAAAATTTGACACATATATTAGTACCAAAGAGTTCCACAATAGTCAAGAATGGAGTATAACAAAGGTTTATTTGGAGATAAACTCACAGTAAGGGTAGTGATCCACAGTCCTTTACATGTACTGGGAACTGGAATTGAATCCAGCAGAAAGGGTCATGCATGCTTTTTGTCTGCATTTATAGTACATGAGATCTTGCCCTAAGTGGGTTGGTATCATAAAGGCTATTGGGTGAAGGAGTTCCCACAACACCTCCCCCTTTTTTCTAAATAGGAGAGTTCTAAGTCTAATACAAAGCTATAAACAATAAGAACAAATACCAAGTATTGTCCAGGGAAAATAAGAGGCAAAAATACATAAAAATTAGAATTACAATCAGCATGAACAACATTAAACAAGAAACACTATATAGTATATAAGTATTTCTTATAGTATATAAGAAATACTAAATGTTTCAATACTTATCCTATCCTAAGGAGTCTAAGGCTTATATTAAAAACAAGTTGGCTAAGTCTTGAGAGGAAAGTAACTATGACTATCTAGTCTTCAATCCCATAAAAGACCTGAGAAAGGAAATAATATTTACATGAGTAAATAGAAAATGCATTCAGGCAATTTCCAAAATGTGCAGGAAATGACAGCTACCTGAGTAATCACTCAAAGTCTCGTTTGCAATGTTGGGGCAACCAACTTTAGCTAAGGTCTAGGGTAACTGACAGACCATTTCCAGAGGCAGGAAAATTTGAAAAACTCTTACCCCATCTTTGTAATTTTGCTTGTATCCTACTTGTCCCATTTAGACACTGTGCATTTTGTCAGTAGTTGAAGCAGGGGCAGTTATTTGCCTAAAAGGCCAATTTTATCAAGAAGAAAACAAACTCCAAGTGGAGTATCTTTGGTGTCCAACATTCTCTCAGAAATAGATTGGTGCTGCCAGGAGCAACAGTGTCTCAGGACAACAGAATCTTAAGCTACTTAAATGTCATATTCTACATATCTTTGAATTGTTTGAAGATTATCTATATATGCAGAATACAGTCTCTATGCATCTAACGAACCTGACTAGTCTAACTATAAGTATGACAAACACAGATAACTCTTTGACCTATAATTCTCAATAACTATATATAGCTTAAAGACTAAGGCTTCATATTAAAAAATTAAAGAATCTTTAAACAAATGTGCAGCAAACAAGGACAATGACTTTAAAATTGTATCAATATGCAAAATGTCTTAAGCAGAGGTAGAAATATACATGCATACAATATGACAAAATAACTTTGTATAGGTGCACAAATATTGTAAACAGAAATAGGAAAATGTTCAATATAACACATGTAATTTGAATTTGTATCAATATATAAGAATCTATACTAATGCAAATTGTCTATCGATAATAGCTCACAACTTACACTAATGTACCTATTATCCCATCCCTTCCATTCTCCCTTTGTTCCAAAGAGACCCCTGAGCATACTTCATTTCTACCCCAAACCCTATACCACTTATAACCAACTCCTAATAGATATCCCTAACCTTGAGTACAAACTTGATTGGGGGAGGGGATGTCATTTTCTAGAATTGCTTCCAGCTGTCATGGAGAGATGTTAATTCTATGGGATCCTGTGAAAACTAAAGTGACAGTTAAGTTTAAAGATTACTGCCTGGTATAATTGCAGATAATTTCTGAGTAGTCAGTAGGGCTTTTCTGAAATTCTTATGTGATGATGTGTGATTCCCCTCTGTATGCTGTGAATATATTTTATTAACATTGGTTAATAAAATAGCTACTTCAGCTTATGGTGGGACAGAATCAAATCAGGTGGGAAATCCAAACAGATATATATTGCTGCCGAAGGAGAATGGCACTAGAACCTTGCTGGTAAGCCACAGCATTGTGTCAACACACAGATTAATAGAAATGGTTTAATTTTAGATATAAGAGCTAGCTTGGAATATGCTTGAGCCATTGGTCAAGTGGTGTTATAATTAATGTAATGTCTCTGTTTTTATTCTGATCTGAGCAGCCAGGAAATGAAAGTGAAATCTCTATTTATAAAATGGCACTCATATACATCTATATAAATCCCAAGAAAGTTTTTTGATAAAAGCACTTCTAGGATAGGCAGTGAGAGGCAGAGGCAGGCAGATCTCTGTGAGTTCGAGGCCAGTCTGGTTTACCAGAGTTGTTACAGGACAGGCTCTAAAGCTATAGAGAAACCCTGTCTCAAAAAACAAAATCATCAACAACAAAAGGCTTCTAGACTAAAGAAAAAAAAACAGTATTCAATTGGAGCTTCTTGGGATCTTCATATTTTTAGATAGGCTGTTTGCTGAATGATAAGCAGAGGTGCAGCTCCTTTAAGAGAAGGCTTCCTGACTCATCATTATCAGCCAAACCTGAGCTTCTCCTTTAAGAAACAGCTTCCTGATTTGTGCTGGTGGTGCAGATGGCTCTGTCTCTTTCTGGAGCTTCTGTTATGGAGCGCTTGAAAGGTGTCTGTGGGTAGTGTGCTATAAGTTACTAGGAGCCTCAGAAGATCAGGGTACTTCAATATTAAAATTTTTAACAGGTTTGGTGTTGACTCAAATGTTTAAGATACTGGAGCTAGTGAAATGACTCAGCAGTTAAGAATAGTAACTGCTCCTTCAGAGGGCCTGGGTTGAAATGCTAGCACGCACATGGTGGCTACCAACCATTTGGGGTAATCTAACATCATCTTCTGGCTTCCACAGGCACTAGGCATGTGGAAAAACACCCAAAACATAAATAAAATTCAAAAGAAAAAAAGTTCAAGATACTGAATTATTATCTTCTTTATGCTAAAAGTATGAAGCAATCAGAATAATTTATTAGGTAATTATGACGGCTGAATTTTTCCAAGATAAAGTCCACTATGAGTTTGAAAGGAATTTTTCTCTTGGAGCAGAATAACCAGTCAGCTGCATCTGATATTCAGTCTGTAAAATTTAGGGCTCTGTAGTCTAAACATTATGACTTGTGTTCTCATAGCCTATTGACACTGTAGTTCAGGCAACAATCACTCTTTTTTTTTTTTTTTTGCCAAATGTCTTACAAGACAGTTGGAAAGGTAGGAGAAGACTTTTACAAGAAGGCACTTGCCTCTTGCTTTCACATACCTCTTTGGTTTAGATGCAAGATGAGAATGACTCCTATAATTTCAACCATCGAACCCATGAATGCCACTGCACTCTTTATACAAGGATAATTTTTCACGGAGAAACTATCTAAAGAAAAAAAGTTTGTTTTAATTACTTGATATTTGTATAGAGATGCTTTACATTGGATACAATACATCAAGACAGCAAGAACTAGTGTGGTGTGTGTGTGTTTGTGTGTGTGTGTGTGTGTGTGTGTGTGTAGGGTGTTAATTTGAACTTGTGCTTTAAAAATATTTCTTTAAAATTTTGAGATTATAACATAATTACATCATTTCTCCCTTCCCTTTTTAAAGGGACTGTTTCTGGGTAATTTGGAAATCAGTAGAGAGGGAGCATCAGGGTATGAATGAAAAGGTTATTTTTAATGGTTTCTCTTTGTATTCATAGAAGAGGGAAAGATTTAGGAATGTAATATAAGAGGACAGGAGTAAAATAGATAGCTGTTTTTAAGGTGGTGCAAGTTTGGGATGGAGACCAAGCAGGCCCAGAGAGAAGTAGCTAACCTTTGTTTTTACTCCATCTCACTTGTCATCAGTAGGCACTACTAATAGCAAGAGACAGAGGTGTGTGTTGTCATTTTCATTTGTATATGAGTTTTATGGGCTGAAATAGGATAGCTCTGAAGATGACTAAACTGCCAAAGAGATTCCAGTTTCCATAATGTGAGAACTTACTATCATAGGTAGTTTCCTTTTTTGTACTAGAGTGTTATAGTCACTGTAGGGGTTTATATTGAGAATGGTCACCAGAGGATCATATGTATTGGTCCTCAGTTGTTGGGATTTTTAGGAAGAATTAAGAGATGTGGTCTTCTAGGAGGAGGTACATCACTGGGAGAGGCTATGACTTTCCCAAAAATTCTTCCTTCCTCTTAGTGTTTCTCTATCTCTCCCCATCTCTATTCCTTATGTTCAAAGAGAGATGTAAAAATCTATAATATCATCACTAGCATACAGAGAGTAGAGATTTGTGGCTTTCAAATGTATGGGCCATCCCTATTCCCCACAAAAGAAAGGTTGGTAATAAAGTTCTATCACTTAGATAGCAGTGTTCAGATGGGTAGGCAAAAATATAAAAGAGGAAAGTCAGATTCTTCAGAGAAATACAGAAGCATTCATGTCCAAATCCTTATGTAATGGGAATACTGTATGAATTGGAGGAAGTCGAGAGGACTTGAGATACTCTTGAGAGATAGTACTATGCCAAAACATAGACACACATTTGAAAATTTTAGTTTTTACTGATACATGTTTATCATATATAGACATAAATTTCCTTAGGATATTTTCATGGAGAGATAACCACTGGCCATATTATCCCCACCACAATTCTTTTTTCTCCCTCCCAATTTAGGATCAGTTTCCCCAAACAATCTTGCTTTTATATTCACATCATAAATATTTTAAAAGTTTCTTATATCTTTGTAAACTCTATAGTTTACAAATGATGAAAACTGTGAAATATATTTCTGAGTTATATAAGTTAAAATATCAACTTCCCTGTAACAATAACTTTATGGACTACCAGTGCCAATTATATTTTTCTAGCTGACTAAAACTCCATCATTAATGTATACTACAGTCTCATATATTTGTATCTACCCCTCTCTTTACAGTCATCAAAACTGACCTTGTACTTGGTTATTGTGAGTAGTCCTACAATAAATTCAGTTGTATATCTTACATGTATGGTAACTTGGGGTCTTTGGGAGTATATACCTAGTACTGGTAACACTGTGTAACAAAATCTAATTTTAGGTTTTTGAAGTACCTTGCTGTATGAATTTATGGGGGAAAGTATTATGAGTTTTTCTTCACTCTTTTAGGAAGAAATGCTTCTAGTTTAAGAAAGTGCTACACAACACTCCACCCCTTCACCCAGCACTTATATTCTTTTGATTCATTCTTATGACATTTTCTGAACTCTGGAGAGAGATGTGTAAATATCTATTTTTATTTCTTTATGGTTAAGATTTGAGTCACTATGTTATACCAAAGGTCACTTATTTCCAGTAGCTTGGCCAGTTATGAGTCTCCACAGAATCTGTAAAGAGAAATTTCCCTCTACTTTCTAATAGCAGAAGTACTCTATGAGTAGAAACACTTATGTTTCGAATGCAATTTGATGATACTTCATAGCTCTTTATTAAAAGAATAGTGGTCTACATAGAGTCATCTGGCACTGTGAAAGTAAGAATTCAGAGAGAGTTTTCAGATTTGTCCTATCCTATTTTTTTTATGCTATGTAGTGAAAGGGTGCAGTGTCTTTAGCAATAGACTCTTAGTACCTAGTTTTACCACAACCAACAGCAGTAGAAATAGTCTTTGCAGTTTATGAGGACTTAGGACTTGAACGGTCTCAGAGGTTTTCAACAGTTAGTTCTCATATGACAAAGCAAATTTCATCTAACATTCTGTTTGCTCCTAGCAATGTCTTTTTGCTGGTTTTTACTTATACACAGGGGCTTCCAAAAAAACTCTTTAACTTTTATTTTCACAAATGCTTTTCCAATTCTATAAGACACTTATGAGTTAGCTTCACACAATAAAATCTCTTTTTCAGAAGGTGGACAGCATCTTTGAAGGCTCATCTGTGTCTACTTCAAGCAAGAGTCAATTGGTTCTGGAGGGCTAAAAGAACACTAATCTAGAAACATGAGCCATGATAAATACTGCATGAAAAGATCCTGTATCTTAACCAATTATTTCATTACAAAAAGCAATGTTGTTACAAGTGTGAGTTCAGGAGAGACTACCCTATAGCCCTCTACAATCCTTTCATAATCCATCAGCCATCTTTCCCTACATCCTGTGGCCCTGCTCTTTCAGGAATCCTGTGGATCTTTCTGCTCTTGATGATCCCCTAGCTGTGCCACATTATGCTGCTCTTTCTGGCTTAGGCCTAAGAAGGAACAGGTGATATGTAACCTGTTGTTCTTACTGCTTTAGCTGGCTACCTGGTTCTGACCAGCTCTGAGTCAGCACCAGAGCCCCTTTTCTTCATCAGTCATATCTGCCTATGGACAGATGATAGAGGAAAATCTTTATGTGTGACAAAGTTATTTGGCATGGGAGAAATATACATCATATACTCTGATGATGAGAGATGATAACTGCTCATCTCTATAACAAACTCAGTAATATTCCTATGCTATCTTAACATTTATCTTCATTGAACTGTTTTTTTTTTAGGATTTAAACCTTCTAGCAGTTCACTGGTATATAACATTTGATATTTTGATGGATTCCTCCTACCATTCCAGTAGTAACATTTGTTTTTTAGTGAAACTAGAAGACCCTTTAGTCCACTTTGCTCTCTGTTCATCTCATTTTGATTGCACCTGTTATTTAAGAACCCAATCTACATACCAATGTAAGTCATCTAATCTTTCAAAACCTCTTCTACTTCACAAAGATCACATTCCACTATGTGAAGATGGACGCTAAAAAGAAATCCCACATTAGCTCAAAATTGAGTATAATAAAGGGTTATTTATTTAGGGGTAGACTCACAGATCACAGTCCTCAGCTCTAACAGGGAACAGCTACTGAATCCTGCAGCCAGAATAGGGAGCAATGCTCACTTTACATTGGCATCTATATAGTATAAGAGGCCACGCCCAAGTGGGCAGGTAACTTAAAGGCTACTGACTGTAGGAATTTCTACAGCAGCCACGGGGCTCAGCAAAGTACTAAAGTTCCATGCAAGGGACATTAACTTTTTCCTTAAGTTTATAGTTGTCAGATTCTAACCATCCTGGGGAACTGGGCACTGATGTCACCTTCTGTAAACCAAATTAACTTGTTGATGTCTATTCATCTTTCATTATCTTCTAATCCCTGCTATTTGTGAAAATCATGGCTGAAGATAGTTAAGTGTTCCCGATGTCTCCTCTGATGCAGTCCATCTAGACTGATGTCCTTGCATTGCCTTAGGTTATGCAGGATGGAATGTTACATTGCTATTTCTCCTATTCTCAGATATCCACCTTAGTCCCATCGGCAGGCATATCCCCCAGCCTCATAATCTAGGTACTGAGAAACACATTCTTTGTTTTAACTCACATTAAATTTTAAGGATTTTAGATCCAGAATATTTCTAAATACTGTAATTTCATTTCCTTTCTTTTCCTGATACTGAAAATAATACTTGGTGGGTATATTCTATTACTGTTTATTCATGTTCTTCCTTTTTATCATTTGATTTTTTTATAGTGGCTTCGAAGATTTTTATTCTAAAGCATAGCACTTTAGCAATGATCTAACTCATTCTTTCTGCTCAGCTGTGAGAAATTCCAGGTTGACATCTCATCCTCACATCATTCTGTTTTCCTGGCAAATCTGAGACTAGTGTGGAAGATAGCCATATTCTTATGACTTTTTAATATAATCATCCCTTGCTCATGGGAGAAAATACTTCCTGGACAGACAGATGAGCTTTAGTGTCATGTCTTATCAAGCACAGCAAATGCATGTTGACAGAGTTTTCTTGTAATCTTCTGTGTTATGGATTACTTTCAGAGATTGCAATGTATAGTTCTCTAAGCATTTGGGGTGCATCTCCATATGCACATGAAGTAGACCCCATTCTTCAATGAGACATTCTGCCTGATACCATGTAAAGTAAGGCATTTTTTTTCACTAAGAAAATGCTTCCCAAAGGATGGTCTGTTCACAGACAGCTCAGCATTGATTGCATGCTTTATAAATCATCACCATGAGCATGCAAATGTCACTACAAAAAAGAAGCCAATCTTCCTATAAAACATGTAAAATGTATTGATATTGATACTGGCCTGCAGAGAGGTCTTGCCCTTTGATCAACCTCAAATTTCTCATTGTACATGCTAGGCAACCTATCCTTCCAAACTCTTTCTGGGTAGACAAAAAGAAAAATTTATTCAGTTCAACTAGGTACCTATGGCAGACCAAAGATTCTGTGTAAGTGATTAGTAAACCGATGAGATTATTTGGCATAACGTGCAAGGTCATAAGTAAGCCTTTTCTTACTTGAGCCTGAATGATTCAAAGATAAATAAATATATTACTGAGTGATTCACTACAGCATGGTTGATGATATATAAAAGCTACATGTTTACAGCTCCCTGGTAAACTTGGATGTCAGCCACTATTGTAAAAGGGGTTTCAACTTGAGTAAAGACAGCACTACCTTTGGAGATAGCAATATGGGAAACTTCAACAGCAAAAACAAAGAATGTTGTACCAAAAAGTGGGTAAGGTTCTATGTTACATGTGACCAAGAGTTTAGGACCTCCTAGGCAGACTTGCTTGGGAACCAAGGGCTGTATAGCTTTAGTTACTTTCCAATCTCCAAATTGTACTCACCATCACTCATTACTACTTACCTCGTACGAAATGTTGATGAGCACAGGAAGTCATGAGGAAGGGTATCAGCACAAATGCTATCATACTCAGAATCCATATCCAAACACTTTTCCAGGCAAATAGTTCACCTGAAACAGTGAGTCACAAATCTTAAGTTTGACAAAACCTTGCTTAGATACACCTAGTTAGGAATGGTGATTCCTCTGAAGCTTGTTATCATTTAAGAGTCTAGCTCCACCTTCACCAGGATGAAGATGTGAGTGTTTGACTTCCTGACTGGACAGCCTTGCTCTCTAGGCCCTAACCCCAGGTTCACATTCCATGCCCTGCCCCCACTCAATGCAGTCCAATACACCTGGAAACAGCATCCCACCTGTACCTATTGGAGGAAGAGATGGATAGATGGCAGTGCAAGGACATATTCAACAACACAAAGAACTATGTGGCACCACCAGAAACTAGTGGTTCTCCAACAGTAAGACCTGAACATCCCAATTCAGATGAAACAGAAGAAAACTACCTTAAAAATAACTTTATGAAGATGATAAAGACTGTTAAGGAGAAAATGAAAATTTTCCTTAAAAATTTGAATAAAAGACAAACAAAAAATTAGAAGAAATTAATAAATCCCTTCAAGAAAGATTACAAGGAAACAGTATAAGACTTGAATATTTAAATAGAAGTAATAAAGAAAACATAAACAGAGGGAAGAGTGGAAATTGAAAATTTGGGTAAATGAACAGGCAGTACAGATTCAAGCATAAGCAACAGAATAGAAGAGATGGAAGAGAGAATCTCTGGTGTAAAAATATGATAGAAGAAATAGATTCATTTGGCAAAGAAAGTGTTATATCCAACAAAATCTTAATATAAAACATCCAAGAAATCTAGGACACCAGGAAAGACCAAACCCAAGAATAAATGGGATAAAAAAAGGAGAAGAAAGTCCATTTGAAAGTCACAGAAAATATATTCAAAATCATAGAAGAAAACTTTCCCAACTTAAAGAAAGACATGACTATGAAAGTATAAGACTCTGTATCTGGAAGCTTTTCTGCATCCCACCTAGTTCCACAACCACTTATAAAATAATCATTCTGAGTTATAGTAGTAATTACAAACTCTCTGGTCTATCCAATCTTTGATACTACTAACTAGTTCTCACATTTTAATTAGCCAATTTCTATTAATCTATGTATTACCACATGGTCATGTTCTGATATCTTACTCCTCTGGCAGCTACATGGAATCTCCCTGACTCCTCCTTCTTTCTCTCTGTATCTCTGTTTGTATTTCCTAACCAGCTATATTCTCCCTGGATACTGGCCAAATCAGCTTCTTTATTAACCAATAGTAATAAAACATATTCACAGCATACTCAGGGTATTTCACATTAAGAAGCTTAGAGAACACTAAATAGTCTAGCCCAAAAAGTCCATTCACCATATAATAATCAAAACACTAAACATATAGAATAAATAAATAATATTATGAACTGCAAAGGAAAAAGTCCAAGTAACATATAAATGCAGAGTTATCAGATTTACACCCAAATTCTAAATGGAAATAATGAAATCTAAAAGGGCCTGTATCACTAAGAGATACAGATGCCAGCCTAGATCACTATAACCAAAAAAACTTTCAATACCATAGGAAGAGAAAAGAAGATATTCCACAACAAAACCAGATTTAAACAATTCCTATCCAAAAATCCAAGTCTACAGAGAGTACTAGAAAGAAAACTCCAATCCAAGGAAGTTAGCTGCACCCATGAAAACACAGGCAACAGATAACCTTAAACCACCAAACCTCGAAAAGGGGAAACACAAAACACTACCATTACTAGCAACAAAAAAACAAAAGCAACAGGAATTAACAATCAGTGGTCATTAGTATCTCTTAATATGAACACACTCAGTACACCTATAAAAAACACAGGTTAAAAGAATGGGTAGGAAAACAGAACCAATCTTTCTTTTTTTTCTTTCTTTTATTTTTTATTTTTTTTAAATTTATTTATTTATTAAGGATTTCTGCCTCGTCCCCACAACCACTTCCCATTTCCCTCCCCCTCCCCCGAGAACCAATCTTTCTGCTGCATGTAAGAAACATATCTTAACTTCAAAACACACATTATCTCAGTGTAAAGGGTTGGTAAAAGATTTTCTAAACAAACGGACCTAAGAAACAAGCTGGTGTAACTATCCTAATATCTAACAAAATACACTTCAAACTAAAAATAGTCAAAAGAAATGAAGAAGGACATTTCCCAAAACAAAATTAAATCAAGAACAGATAAACAATTGAAATATACCTATGATCACTAGGGAAATAGAAGTAGTCATCAAAAATCTCCCAAGAAAACAAACAAATAAAAAAAAAGCCCAGAGTCATATGATTTTGGTGCAGAATTCTACCAGAATTTCAAAGAAGAGTTATTACAAATACTCCTTACATCATTCCACACAATAGAAACACAAGGAACATTGTCAAACTCTTTTTACAGTGCTACAGTTATCCTAATACCCAGAATTCACAAAGCTCAACAAAAAAAGAGAATTTCAGACAAATCTCCCCCATGAGCATACATGCAAAAAGACTCAATAAAATACTGAAAAACAAAATTCAAGAACACATCAAAATATCACCCACCGTGATCAGGTAGGCTTCATCCCAGAGATGCAGGGATAGTTCAAATGTGAAAATCTACCACAAGTTGACAGCCAACATCAAACTAAATGGAGAGAATCTCAATGTGATTCCACTAAAATCAGGAACAAGACAAGGCTGTGTTTTCTCTTCATATCAATTCAATATATTACTGGAAGTTCTAGCTAGAGCAATAAGAAAACAAAAAGAAATCAAGAGGATACAAATTGCAAAGAAAGAATTTACAGTTTCCCTATTTGCAGATATGAGAGTAGACGTAAGTGACCATGAAAGCTCTCTCAGGGAACTCCTACAACAGATAAACACCTTCAGTAATAGGGCATAATCTCTTCAAAAAAAATCAGTAGACCTTCTATATACCAAAGATAAGGGGGTTGAGAAAGGAATCAGGGAAACAGTACCCTTTACAATAACTGCAAATAGCATAAAATATCTTTGGGTGACTTTAACCAAACAATTGAAAGAACTGTATGACAAAACTTTAAGTCTTTGAAGAAAGAAATTGAAGAAGATATCAGAACATGGAAGGATCACTCATGCTCTTGGGTAGATAGCACCAACAAAGTAAAAATGGCAGTTTTACCAAAAGCAATCTATAGAATCAATGCATTCTCCATCAAAATCCCAATATAATTCTTCACAAACCTAGAAAGAACAATACTCAGCTTCATATAGAAAAATAAAAATTTCAGGATAGCCAAAATAATCCTGTATAATAAAGGAATTTCTGGAGGCATCAACATTCCTATAGGTTTGTAGTTACCTATAATTCAGACTTAGATGACAATGAAAAAATAGTGAGATTTAATGAGAATTATATCCAATTATTTACCTATTTCGTCTTTGTGGTTCATTCTTTTCAGGCTTGCTAGATTCCTAATTTCACCTTAAATCCCACGATTGCACATCTACATCAAAAGGAGAGTGACATCCAAACACCTTCTAGACAGGAACCCTGTTGTTGTGAAGAATATTCAGTGGGCTATGCAAACCATCTCAATTCTAGCTTTTGTTCATTCACATCTGTAATCTCAAGGCCTATATTGTCACTGTGAGGACATCCTCAGACATGTTCTATCAGTGTGACCATAGTGAATTAAATTTTATTTTACTTGTTTGTCATCAGATTTTACACCCAATTTCCTTTTTAGGAAATATTACTAAATCTGGATTATTGGAACCACCAGAATCAGAGACCCTGATTTGGTTGTCTGTTTCAGAACTCCAGGAACAACAAGACTCTGGATATATTTTAAAGGTAGACCCAGCATTATTTCTCTGTATTTGTGGTTGTGATAGAAAATGGAAGTCTACAGTAATTTTAATAATATTGTTCTGAGAAGTTGAAAACATGATATGATACTGCAAATCAATAAATCAAGCAAGTTTGGTAGTAACCATGAGTTTAATTCTTTAGTGCTAATTTTATGATGGTTTATTAAAATTTGGGGTTGCTTTATGCGTTTTTAGATGAGAGCAGAAGGAGAGAGGGCATAACTTTAGGAACTATCAGAGTTTTGGTGGTACTTAGAGCATTAAAATAAACAGAAGTCATAAGAGAGTAAGGACTCGAAAGCTATGCCCTGGGAATGTCAGTGTCAATATATCAGTTAGTTTTGTTGATTTGACACAAGCTAGAGTCATTTCTGAAAATTAACCCCCAACTGAATAATGACCTTCATAAGATTGGCCTGTAACCCTCTGTGGGAAGCTTTTACTTGAATAATGATTGATGTAGTAGGGCCCAGGACCCTGGGGGTGAGTGGTGTCCTCCTTGGTCACCTGTATCTGAATTGTAGAAGAAAGCAAATCAGTGAAGCTATAAAGAACAAGCCAGTGAACGGTGCTCCTCTGTGGTCTCTATTTCAATTCCTGCCTTCAAGTTCCTGCTTTCAGCTATTGCTCTTTCTTCCCTTGAAGGAGCACTAAGATGTCTAAATATAATCCAAAGAGACTCTTCCCCCTCCCCATCTTGTTTTTGATTACCATGTTTTATCACAGTGACAGAAAAGCAATCTGCAATGATCAAGACTATAGAGCAAGAAAATAGAAGAAACATCCAAGAAAGTAAGTGACAACAAAGTGATGAGTAATGGCAAGAGAAAGTAAGTCCTTGAGACCAAATTCAGAGAAAAAACAAATAATATGTGGGACAATTGCTGTTCCTGAAGCACAAAAACATATTGTACCTGATAGGATGATACTTGTGCTTTCTTCTTGGAGACTTTGACGGTTTTGAAGATAGCAAGTAACACTCTGGTAGGAGCTGGTGTTAATAAAAAGAGCCATTGTCATGTTGAACAGTTTGTTTCCATCCTGTGAATGGGATTTGGATGTCTCTGGAATGACCTCTCCTTTGCTGTCTCTCCATTCCATATGAGGCAGTGGGAACCAACCCCCTGAATGACACTCCAACATCACTCCTTTGGTATTAGGGGGATGCAGAAGAATCTGTATGTCTGAGCTTGTGGCTGGTTGAAAACAACAGAGGAAATTAATATTGTTAGGTATAAATGCAAGAGGAAGCAATGAAAAATACTCATTCAGTTTCAAAAGATGCATTAAAAGGTAAAATTCTACTTGACTCTGGTTACAATAAGAATCTCATGAAAATATCAATAAATAGATAGAAATGCTATAATACACAGTCAGCAACCTGTCCAAACTAAGTCATTTGATGAATGCCTGTTTCATTTATTTATTCATTTATTTAAAATATTTTGCTTAATTACCAAGTCTAATTAAGTTAGGTCTATGGATTATGAAGAACAGAACCCAAAATTCAGACACTCAAAAATTTATAATTTATGATTTCTTTTATCATAATCACTAGTTATTTAGAGCCACTATAAATAGATTATAAAAATGAATTTCACTATAAACACAATTGTGGCTCTTTAGTTCAAACTTTGTGTATTTCCATAGAAGGTAATTTATATAAAATATGTTTTTTATAAAACAGGCAATACATTGAAGTATGAAAAGTACATATTAATTTAGAGGGAATAAATATGTCTGAAATTTTTCAGAATATTTTCTGAATTATAAAATTTACCAAATATATAGGCAAAAAGAGAATAAGTGGAGATTTAAAGCACTGTACCAAAGCTGTTCTGTCTAGTAAAATGTCCCTGGGATAACAAAATATTATGTGTGTGTGCAAGCACACTTGCTGTTTGACTCATGAGATTATTAATAATGGCAATTATTAGATTTTTATCACATAAGACTATGAAAAATGGCTATTACCTACACTGTGTAGCTTTTCTGTAGACTACAGCATCAAATGATGCTTGACATACAATAAAGACTAGTTGGCTGGGTATTGAGTTCTACATGTAGGAACACACATTTATGGTGTTTATTCAGTTTGCTTTAAACCCTTTGTCTCCCTTTCTTTTATTTTTAATCTAGAATAATTCAGATTAAGGAAAGGAGCATAAATGTCACATAGTTCCCATACTTCATGTATAGTATATCTGAGGATAGTGATGAATGTGGTTAAAATCTATTGGAAAAGATTTAGGAAAATAAAGTGGGTACTAAGTAATCAGTAGATAGATTCAGAGAAAAATATAAGTATTATCAGAAAAAATATTTTCTTTCTTTAATTAAAATTTCATACAATATTTTTGATCGTATTATCCCCTCCTGCAATTCTCTCCATATATTCTCCACTCCATGCTCACCCAACTTTATACTAGGAAGCATATTTTAAAAATTCCATTCATTTGGAAAATTACTAATGTAATGCTAGTAATATCTGAAGGGATAATACAACAACCCAAAAGGAATGTGATGATGAGGTAGAAATATAACAATTTGTATAGGCATTACAATATTTGCTTACTGATAGAACCAATTTCTGCACTGTAGCAATTTTTATTTCTCATTTTCCATAGCATGTATTTAAAAAACCAAATGCTTAGTTTCAGCTTACTAATAAAACCATGCAGTAAGAGTCAAACACTGATAATTTTTCTACCACTCAATCCAAGATAGGCCTTGAATCATGGGTACCTAGCAGTCTCAGAGGAGTTCATGCCTACCTGTGACCTTGACCTCTGTGATGTGCTCTTCATAGAATTCTCCATCTTTGAAGACACAGTGGTATGGTCCACCATCATCAACAGTCATGCTAAAGATCCTGAGTGTCACTTTCCCTCTTCCAATGTCATATTTCAGCAGTTCAGTCCGCTCTACGTACTTGGGGATGGTTTCTCCATGAAGGTCTTTACCATCCCTGTACAGGTGCACAGGCCGTGTATAGCGGTTCCTGAACCAGCGAATCTCCATGTGCTGTGCATCTTGTGGTGGGGACAACTGACAACTGAGTTCAAGGGTTCCACCCACTGGAGCCAAGACTGGCTTAGTCAACCCAGTCACTGTGAATGCTTCTGCGAAGGAGAATAATCAAAAGTTAAGAGTATGAATTAGTAAACATGCTCACACCTTTTGTTGAAACCATTGTCTCTGTTTATTTCTCTTCTATCTTCTCCTCCTCTCTCTCAAACATCCATACATACTTCACAGAAGGTCACATTGTTTATCCTGAAGACATTGTAATTACTAATTACTTAATTGATACTAATGCACAAAGTATTACTGTAAATGGTTACAGGAGATTTTAAGGAACTGTTGGAGATTCTGAGTCAATTCAAGACAAGCTGGGCTCAAGATAAATGAAGGCAATGCCAAGAACAGGTCAGAAGAAATTTCAATATGAGTACGCCATGTCATGTAGTGGGAATTTTGCTGAACTGAGGCTCCATGGACAGTAGGTTGTGTAAAGTTTCAATATTTATGTACTTTACAGCTCATTTGGACTACATGTAGAATCATGACTAATGGAAAGAAAGTTTGTGAATCAAAACAATAAGCCATCAACCAACTATTAGAATAGCTGAAATACAAAACACTGACAACACAAAATTATGACAAAAGAAGAAGACAATATGACTGTGATTTCTTGTTGGCAGCAACACAGAATGATCAGACACTATGGAAGACAGTTTGGCGCTCTTTGACAGTGTTAGATGTGGCTTTACTATACTTTCTTTCCATTAGTCATGATTCTACATGTAGTCCAAATGAACTGTAAAGTACACAAATATTGAAAGTTTACATAAATGTTGCAACAACTTTATTCCCAGTTGCTAAAAATTGGAAAAATATAAAAATATCTTTCACTAGGTGAGTGAAGAAACCACCTCTGCTACTTTCATAATTTTATGAAATATTATGAATTAATAAAATGTATGGTACAATAGTTACACAAATGTTAGTGCATAAACCAAATCAATTTTGTTTGGATTTAAGACCTACTCCATGAGATAGAAACCATATCTGACACTTGTAAAGAGACCAACAGCCTGAGATCAGATAAATTATGACCCTAGGAAAAACATATCATTCTGCTATAAAAACATAATAAAATTACTCTAGTAACATAATGCTAAACACATAGGTCAGTGACTTGATCAAAGCTTATCAGAGGTGTTTTGTCTTATAGTAGGTGGGAATCAACACAGAGACTCACAGCTGGACAATATGCAGAGAGTGAGAGACTTTGGAAGTCTCAATGCTAAATGAGATGTTTTCATCAAACCCATAACCATTAATCTTCATCTTTCATGCTAGCTAGTTCTCATAATGCCAGAAGATTCTATTCAGGCTGCCTGGAAAGAAAAGTCACCAGAGGTCTAAGCCATCTGTGAATTACAATACCAACACACCAGGAAAGATGTGCCCACTGCTGTAAGAGTGGCATGACCACTGAAGGGCAATGGACTCCTCTCCAGAATTCAAGTCATCCTCTGCAGAATGTTTTTCAAGCATGTTATTGTAAATCTTGTCAAACAGTACTACTTGAACTTCAAATGTCCTAATGGGTAAATTACCACTGTTGTTTAGCTAAATTAATGGTGTGGTATCAAACCAATTCCTAAACATCCCTGTTTATACCTTAGAGAAACACATTAATCAGTGTATCTAAACTAACTCTCTAGGTTCAGAGAAAGTGTAGAAGTAATAGAAAGAATGTAAGAACTAGAAAACGAAGAGTGATAAAATGTTATTGTCTTGTTTCAACCTAGTTTTTGTAATCGCAGAAACACAGTAGCTGAGCTTGTTTGCTCTGGGATTATACAAGACTAGACTTGCCAACTGCTGGGTAAAGGAGTGCCTCATGTGGCCCTTTGCCCTACCCCTAGCTGAACTGTTATCTATTGAAAGATTCTTGGAGAGGAAAAGTTATTATCTTCAGATGTATACACATTGATAAGTTCACCAAGCTCCAGTGGCTAGTTCCATACTCATGATTAAACAGAATCCCTTTATTAAACTCAGTAGATCACAAAACATGAAAAAAATCAACATGGGAGGAAATAGGGGGGATTGACAATGATGTGAGGGAGACAAGAGAAGGAGGAATTAGGTAATCATAAGGCATTACAGACATGTGTAAAATTGTCAGAGAATAAATTTAATGAATAAAATGCAAGGATGAAATGTCTACCATAGAAAAGATAATAAGGATTTAGGGCAAAATCAACACTTCAGAGAAAAAGAAACTTTTTTTGAAAGATAGTCAACCTTACCCATCAATATAAATGTAAAATGTAATAAATTATAGATTTTTGTTTTTACCTGAAAGCTTAAGAATAAATAAAATTCCTTTGTCTCAGCTACCAAATCCATTCAGAGATCCCTGGAAACCCACTTGCAAGAGAATCAGGTAGGAGACCTTCACTCTCCCTTTCTTCCTCCAATTCCAATGCCCTAGGCTCATGCCCAGTTCTGTAGCAGACCACCTGCTGTGGCCTCCCCTCCTTTCCTATCCCTCTCACCAGTGAACCATGCAGATTTTTCTCCTCCAACCTACCTCTACCCCACCATCCCTTGTCTCAGCTGCCAACTCCCAAGGGCACTCCCTTGAAACATACTGGGGATAACAAGGAAAGCATGTAGGCAATATTCATTCTCCATCCTGTCTTCCAGTTCCAATCTCCAGTTTTATCCTCAGCTCTGTAGCAGACCGCCTGTTACAGAAGGAGGGTCTTAGCAGATCCTGGTAACACATCCAATATTTCCCCTTTCACTGGACCCTTTCAACTTCCCCTTCTAGTTAATTTCCATTCCCAAATGTCATAACCCAATATCTAAAATTACTTTCTACCCGGTACCCCTAATTACTGCACCTGGAAAGATTTCAGAAGCATTCCAAACACCAAACTCATAGCAACCCACATTTTCTTAAGAACCAGATAGGGCAACAGAAACCAAGAAATGGAACACCCACTTAACAAAAGCAAAATCAGATATCAGCGTCTAGAATTACAATCACTCCAAACCCACATGCCTAGATAACAACATAAAAAAAAAATAACAGCAAAGATAGTATGTGTCAAGTAGAGCCCAGTGACCATACTACCTACATAGGCCCCAGGAAATGAAATAAAATTAGCAACTTTCCAATATAAAAATAACAAATGAACTGAAAAAGAAATCAGAAAAACACATATCATGGTAGCCTCAAATAATATGAAATATATCATGGTAAGTCTAGCCAAGCAAATGAAAGTATGATAAAACCTTAAGACACTGAATAAGATATCAGATGAAAAGATCTCCCATAGTCATGATCAATAAGATTAATATAGCAAAAATGACCATCCTAAGAAAAGAACCTGTTCGATGAAACACCCAACAAAATTCAAAAATACTTCTGCAAGGATCTTGAAAGGACAGTTTTCAGCTACAAAACTATATAGTAATGAAAACCACATTGTATCTGAGCAAAAGCTGATACATTTATCCCTGAAATCAAATTGAAGTCCCAAACATAAGTAGTCCATACACCTGTGGTCACCTACTTTCTGATAATGGAGTCATATATACACACTGTAAATAGACAATCTCTTTAACAAATGGTACTGGTCAAACTGGATGTAGAAGAATGTAAAAACATACTTATAAGTCTGCACAAAGCTTAACTCCAAATTGATCAAGGAATTCAACATAAGTCCAGATATACTGAATCTAATAGAAAAAATTGAGAAATAGTCTTGAACTCATTAGCACAGGAGAAAACTTTCACAACTGAATGCCTTTAGCATAGGGACTAAGAACAGAGTTTAATAAATCGGACCACGTGAAACTGATAAGCTTTTACATAGCAAAGAACACTATCATTTGAACAAAGATTTTTATTAACTACACATTTGATAGAGGACTAATATCTAAAATATATATAAAAATTTTAAATCTAGACATCATGAAAACAAATGAGCAATTGAAAATGTGGTGCAGATCCAAACAAAGAATTCTCTAAGAGGAAACATAGAGGAATGTGAAACACTTAAAGAAAAAAATGATTTCATATTTTTTTGCCTTAAAATTCTAATGTGACAGAGAACCTTAATGTCACTCTCTGGTCCCTGTGTATTTTTAGTCCACATCCATCAACTTATGTTGTCATTTGTAACTCATCACTGTCTAAATAGTTGTGTTGATTCAGATCTCAGTAGCATTACAGCGGAGTGTTCTCGCCTGTATTTTCTCCCTTTCCCATTGCCTTCAGAAACTTGGTTCCATCAAGCACACATGCTCCCCTGCTGTGTATGTTTATTCTGGTACTGGAAATAGATCTCAGGTTCTATTGCACAGGTTAGAAAACCCTTTAGCTCTGACTTCTGTTTTTCACACTTTACTCTCTGTTGATTTTTGTTCCTTCAATATAGAAGCATGCTGAAGTTTTCTATAGTTTTAAAATAAAACAAAATATTAATGTTAAAAAAATAAAGAAATGTTCAACAACCTTTGCCACCAGGGAAATGCAAATCAAAAATACTTTCAGATTTCATCTTATACCCTTCAATTGCCTTTGACAATAAAAAACGATAGTGCATGCTGGCGAGAATGTGAAGTAAGAGTGTACGTCCATTGCTACTGGGACTTCAAAATTGTACAGTCACAAAAGAAATCAGTATGGTGGTTTCTTTGGAAGCTGAAAACAGGTCTACCTGAAGAGCTACTCTTGAGAATATTCTACTCTTGAGAACATTCTCAAAGGATGCTTTGTCCTGATATAAAAACACTTGCTCAATCATGTTAATTGCAGCTTTATCCATAATATTCAAAACTGGAAACTACCTAGATGTTTTCAATGGATGAGTGAATAAAGAAAATATTTTACATCTATAGTATGGAATATTTGAATTCAGCAATTTCAAAATATGAAATAAAATTCAGATGTAAATTGATGGACCTAGAAAAAAAAACCCTGAATGAGGTAATCCAGACCTAGAAAGGCAAGAATGTATTCACTTATATGTGGATGCTAGTTTTTAAGTCTTCAATAAGAAAGCTACCATTCATATAACCAGAGGTTAGATATAGAGTAAGTGATTAGTGGGGAGGAAAACAAAATATGTAGTTATGGATGGACAGGGAAAGTAATGGGAGGATCAAATGGAGATGGGGAATGAAGAGACCAGGGGACAGCTAAAAATAAGGCTGATATGACAGACTACATGGAAATCAAATACAATAGTAGGTTACTAAAATTGCTTCATACATATATAAAGATAATCCACAAAAATTCACAAAGTAATAGGGGAAGATAAAAACCACAACTCAATATCTTTCATTACCAAATGAAACTTACAGCATCAAGAATGAATCTAATCAGTATGGAACCCAAGCAAATGTGAATCAGTGAGATTCTTGTCACTGGACAATGAGCTTTTGTTGCAATATTCTACACCTTAAATATAATTTTCATCTAAGTCTTTTCATTTAGATAACTTTGAGTGATCTATATTTATTCATACTTTGCAAAGATGTCCCTACAAAGTCAAAATCTCATTCTCCTATCCCATTTTAATTTCTCTCATCTTTTCCTCCTATTATATTCTTGACTAAGATGGATTTTAATATGTATCTGCAGCCTATACCAATTCCTCAGCTAGAAGTGATATGTAAGTTCTATGCATTCACTATGAATATTGACTCCTCAAGGCAAGCATTCAATCTCTTACATTGTATTGTCTTCCTGGAAGCTGAAACAAACACAAGGAAAGACTATGTGATGATTAGACATAATTACTTGCTCCTCTAAGCTGGATAATCTTGTAACTGTCTTCACTTCATTGCTACATTCAAACGATAGGGACTATGGTCTAAATGTCCTCTCGTTGTATCATACCTTGATTTTCCTGGTATACTTGACATTGTTAAGGATCATAAAGGCAAGTGAGAGATTCATACCTGAACTCCGTGCTACCATCTGAAGGAGGAACAAGACAACACAGTGTGTGCCAAGAAGTACTCCTGTAGCTCCCATTATACCTTTCATGAGACAAAAATTAATGACTAGTGAAAACACAAGCAATAAGTTGCAAAAATCAAGTTCCTCCATATTACTGTACAACAACTGGCTTCCAAGTAGAGTTATTATTCAGCCTCAATTTTAGATAATAACTTTATTACAGTCATTTATCTCATGATATGATGGGGGAGAATCTTCTGTTTTGTGTTAATTTCATTGGTTAAATAAAAAGACTGCCTCAGCACTTTAATAGAACAGAAAATTAGGTAGGCGGAGTAAACAGAACAGAATGCTGGGAGAAAGAAGCTGAGTCAAGGAGTCGCCATGATTCTCCCACCCGACACAGCTGCAGGTTAAGATCTTCCCTGGTAAGCCACCTCGTGGGCTACACAGATTGTTAGAAATGGGTTAGATCAATATGTAAGAGCTAGCCAATAAGAGGATGGAACTAATGGCCCAAGCAGTGTTTAAAAGAATACAGTTTCCGTGTAATTATTTCGGGTAAAGCTAGCCATGTGGGCGGCGAGGTGCCAGGGACTCAGCCCCTCCGCTCGTATTTCAACAATGATATTTATCACACTGAAATCTGTATTTACTACATCTGGCAGCCCTAGTTTTAGGAACATACATGTAATGACTAAATCCATCCAGACGTTTCTTTCACATTAGAGAATCACATCGTCTCAGATCTGATGTTTGTCTTCTAGTTGTGGAAACTATCAGCTCTCCACCTTTCTCGCCACACAAAGTTATGGAACTGCCAAACAACTAAGTCTCAAAGGTCTTCTAGTGTAACTGTCTGTCACATTTAGCTATGCTTAATTACATGAAAAGTTATGAAATAGATTAAACTTTACACTTATGAGAATAATCATGTCAGTGTTTTAGAAGAGAACATGACTTTCTTATACTCATTCTGAATTTTATTCTTATTGATAACTCTTATTAGAGACTTACTAGTGGGACCTTATGGTTAAAGAAGAGTTAAGGTGAAAAAGAAGTTGTCATATTAAAATGAGAAAGGTTTTTATTGATGACTTAGAATTTTGGGATTTGATCCAGTGTGATAGAGTTTTATTTATATCATATACACATTAGGCTAGATACTAAGGTTATAAAGAAATGGGAAATTGAGTAGAAAGTTAAAATAACTCTAGTCTATACTGTATTGACTAATAAAAATCCAGAGATTGATATTAGGGTTCAACCTGAAGGTCAAAAAAGCAAAACAGCCAGCCACTTGCTCTTACCTCTATCTCAGTTTGAATGGTGATCCTGCCTCCCGGAATCTCAGAATGAAACCATGTCAGAGAGTTGTCCCCTCCCATTTTATATTACACGCTAGTGCTGGGATTAAAGGTGTGCACCATTAAAACCAAGTTTCTAAGGCAAACTAGTGTGGCTACTGGGATTAAAGGTGTGTGTCACAACTACCTGGTCTGTAAGGCTAACCCATGGGGCTGTTCTACTGTCTGATCTTCAGCCTAGCTTTATTTATTAAAATACAAATGAAATACCACTACACTAAACCTTCATCTGATATGTTATTTATTGTAGTAACATAAAAATGTTTATGATATATCCTTCTTGAATTTCGAAAGAACAAAAGAAAAAGTTTCCAAGTAAGTGTGTGTGTATAATCAAATAAGTTTCATAAGTTTTTAATAAAATTATTTCGTGTGTGTGTGTGTGTGTTACTTGCATATATTTATGGAACACTTACATTCCTGGTGTCCATAGAGGTCAGAAGAGGTTACTGGATAGCCTGGCACTTGAGTTAAATATGTTTGTGAATCACCTTTTGACTGCCAGAACTGAACCAGGTCCCCTCCAAAGCAAATATACTTTTAATTACTCGGTTATCTTTCCATCCCTTTTCATTTTTTATACATAATTGATGTCATTATGATATTTTAATCATGTATATACTTTCTAGTCACCTCTACTGCCCTCTCTTATGCCCATCCATTCCTGTTAATCTTCCTCTTTCCAACTACTTCCCTCATAATTTCATATCTTTTTGTTTGATAATCTTTTGAGTTTAATGAAGAAATGTTACAGGACCATGGGAAAAGGTTTGTTTACAGGAACATGGTTCACCAGTGTCTACACCATTGCAAAAGTATTTCTTCCCTTCCCCAGCTATTATTTATTTCACATAAAGTCACAGAGTGAGATGAGGTCTTGCGAATTTCTCCTGTTTCCACAATGGCAAATGATGAGACTAATCCTGAACAAGTTTTATGCATGTAATCACAGTCTCTGTGAGTTAAAATGTTTCTAAGAAAATTATATATTTTATTCAGAAAGTCCAATTTTAATTTTCTTTAACATTCTATTAATTGAAATTTAATAACTGTACATTTTATGTGCTATTGCATATATAAACTTTTCAAGCTATTGTTGATCCCTTCCAGTTCTTTTAAAAGCATACCATGATTGCTCTTATTTATTTATTTATTTATTTATTTATTTGAGTTTTCATGACAGAGTTTATTTCTTTAGCTTTCACTGTCCTGGAAATTGTTCTGTAGATAAGGCTGGTCTTAGACTCATAGACCTGCCTACCTCTGCCCACAAATGCTGGGATTAAATGTATGCACCACCAGGAGCAAATTGTTTTAAACCAGAGTTGCCCTATGATAACTATTTCTCCTAGATAATTGTGTTTTAATACATTTGAAAAGAACACATATCTCTCACTTCTTCATATCCTTCCCCTTTCCAGCCTAATGACACAGATTCTGCATCATATCAGATATCAACTTTTTAAAAATGTTTATTTGAAATAGACTTACATTACTTCCTTCTCCCCATCCTCCCTCCAGCTTCTTTCATATCACCACTCTCAAGCCAACAGCCTCTATTATATATATATATATATATATATATATATATATATATATATATGTATATATGAGCACATATTTGTGTGCATGTATATATATGTGTATATATATGTGTGTGTGTGTAACCACATTATTTCATTGTAATATACAAAACCATGTCATTGTAACATCAGCAATTAAGAATATATATATATATATATATATGAATTTTGTATATCCACAAAAACATAAATACACTCAATGTTGGGTTATTTTTCTTTGTGCATATTTTGTGTGTGTATGGTTTCAAGGCTGACAATTCTGTATTGAACAACCATTAAGTGAACTCATCCATGGGGCAGGCTAATTCTCCTTTTCCCAGGAGTCATTAGTGGTCTGCAGTTTCTTATCTCAGTGTGGGACTCCTGTAAAATCCCCCCTTCTGTATTAATATGTCTATTCATTCACTTGTTCCAGTTCCACTTTTATGTAGCTACTTCTGGAAGATCAACTTCTAAATTTCCATGTATGACTGAGAACATGAAGTACTTGTCTTTTTGTCTTGGACTATGTAGAAATTGAGTTTTTAAAGGCACATTGTAAAAACTCAACAGGGACATCTCATTTATTCTGAATTTGTTTATTACTACTAGTTAAAATAGAGAAGTTATTCTGGTTGAAAAGAACATGGGATGGACACAAATCTTATTTTATGTGGCTGAGAAATAGTAGTCATAGGAATATATTTTCTTTAACTCTGATCAAACTAAACTCCAGAACCTGATCTCAGTATTCACTAGGATACTCATTCAGAAACAAAACTTAGGAGGTTTTTTCCCCCAGAAGACACTAACTCTCCATTCTTTAACCCCAAGATTTACTAGATTTGGATATATGCTTTGTAAGTCCTTGGATCTTTTTTCTAGAGGGGCAGTATTCCACCCAGGAGGCACAAGGAAGAAGAAAAGGAAGAAAAGAAATTATCTGTGAAGATAAAAACCATATCCTAAAATCTGTTACTCACCTGAACCTGATGATCCCAAGTCAGTTCTGTTGTCCCTGTGAACGTATCAGTTGAGACACCTGAGATTTTGGTAATGCTCCAGCAATTTTCCTGAAGGCACCAAGCATGCCAGAGATGTGGATCAGGTAAACTAACACCAAACTTCTCCTCTCATAATCTGAAAGTCTGTCCCCATGATTCCAGCAAGCATGATACTTAGGTCTCTTTCCCAGGGAAGTTCCTAAGGTGCTGGTATGTCAACCCACCAATGAAATCTTTGTTTAGCTCAGTGACTGTGACTGGTATTACTCAAGTCCTAGCAAGACTCGCCTCGCCTAGGGAAGAAGCAAAACAAAACCTGATCCGCCCCTATCATACACTGAGTGCTGAATGAAAAACTATGATGAATGTATTTTAAATGCTGGGTCTATACATAGTAGGGTGAGGGAATTGTTGAAGCACAAGTCAATGACTTTAAGTCCAGATGAAGCATTCAATGAAACTTCTTATAGTTTCATGGAATAACCTTAAAGTAAAACAACCAGTTGGTCCGGTTAAGCAAAGGAGCACAGTAGTTTTCCGGGTTGACAGAGCAACTGTATCTTGAAGACATGAAAGAGAGTAGTCAACTCAAAAAACTCCCAGTAATTGGCAGTAGCTACTGGGAGGAAGAATTGTGAGGAATTATGATAGGTGAGTTTCAGGGAGAAATAAGGGACATTATGAAACTTTAGGAAACATATATGATATATATTAAAGTGTATGCGTATCTATGTGCAATCAAGTCTTTTTATTATTTTTTATTGATTTTTATTGAGCTCTACATTCCCTTTGATAGGTTAGTTGGTAGAGCAGAGGATTGTGATCTCTGGAGTCAAGTCTTTTAACTTTTAACACACAGATGTATGCATTAATGTTTAATATAGATGTCATATATATGTAAGTATAGACAAGCCACGAATATGAATGCACTTAGAAAATTATGTACATACATAAAGTATTGCAGACTTTTATACATGTATGCACACATGAATATAAAAGTATATTTCATCAAATATGTAATTATATCTCTACAAAAATTCATATAACCTCAGTAAATTTATCATGCATGTGTAAGGGATTATAAATGTATAAACATAAATGATTTAAAATATATTTTATTAGTTTTTTGAAATTTTTGTACA